CAGGAGAAAGGTCTTGTCAGTTTAGTGGGTATGGTTATATTGAGTCCCACACAGGGGGGGGTTCGTACACCCTTCTATCGTGAATATAGGCATTCTTGATGACCTTGGAAAAAAAAATAATAAAAAATAGAAAAAAATAATAATAACGATAATAATAATAATAAAAATAGCAGTTGTTAGAATAATGATGAGAATAATATTGATTTGCCTGTCGCAAGTTAACATAATTAGGTTTACCGGTAGTTCTGAATGTTCATAATGTTGCAAAAATAATGCGAAATTTTGGTAGAATTTTAGTCAACATGTTTTTCTGCTGCCAGTCGTTGGAGAGAGAGTCGTCTCTTGGTACCCTAGGGAATTAAAAACTCTGTTACCCCTAGTGGAGGCAGGCGTACAGACTCTCTCCTGGAGTCAAGAAAAGGGGAAGGATTAACTTTAAGGGAAGGTTTTCCTTTACATTTGGGAAAAAGTAGAAGCAATCAACTAGATTACAAATTAGACTATTGCAGTGTGCTTATGAAATTATTAAAGCGATATGAAAAGGGTCACTCTGTAAACCATGAGCTTAAAAACTTGAATGGTGAAAATCAGGTAATCCCTTGAAAGTTAATAATGTTATTTATCAGGCTTGTCATGGTTAATGTGTAATGTAGTTGTTTGCTAGTGGTGTAGTGTGTACTGGTTGTTTGTGACGATTCTGGTTATTACTAATATTTTCGCTTATTTATATGTATTAATTCTAAGCTATCCTAATATTAAACTTAATGTTATTTGATCCTAATCTAAAATTATATTTGCCTTTAATATTTCAGTGTAACTGTTCCCAGTCAAACTTTTGCATCTTCGGTTGTCGAAAAATATTTTGTTTTTCATTTCTGATCAGCATAGGCCTGCGTGCATGTACAAGAATCATCATTGTACTGCAGGTACGAGTACCTTGCAGGTGATTCACCTTTTTTCAGAAGAACGTCGGTCCTTGTTCAAGTGCTTTCACAACAACATTCTTAGGGAATGAGTAGGGGAAAAATTATTGGTAATTTTTAGTTTACCGACGTTATATACAATTTTACATAGAGTGAAAAATCAAAAAAAAAAAATGTACTTGGTTAAAATACTTCTATTAAAGGCATTTTTACTTCAAAGATATCATTTGAAATTTATTGACCAAATACAATTGTATTTCAAGTCATTTGTACTTAAGACATTTTATTTGAAATGTTGTGTTTGAAAGAAAGTATTTCAATTTTTAAATTTTTGTGAAGTGTATTTTTAATTGTTGTAGTGAAAACACTACTAATATTTATTCAAATAATTCCAAATATTTTAACTAAAATTTTGAGTACTTGTTACTTTTTTTTGAAAAAAATTTTATTTCATTAATAAAACAGCTTTTTTTTCTTTTAAGTGAAATGGTATCTTGTTTTCAAATAATGAATACGACTTTGTCCAAGCCTCATAGTAATGATGATGGCTAGCAGGTTTTTTGTTTGCATAGGGGTAGTTTTTGCGTCTTTTATTTAAACGATTTTTGGCTTTGTTTGTAATTTTAGGAAATTTACATGGTAATCAAAGTAGAACAAATCTTGAGAACTGCTTCCTAGTAAATTTTATTACATCTTTGTTAAAAGTTTATTTTTATATTTTAAAAACAGATTTTTTATGTTCATAAATACAGCTCCTATTATTATTATGAGATACAACATGTCGATGAAAATGTGTTTAGCTTTTGAATTATAATTGATAGGTAGTATGTTCTTCCATATGAATATTGTTTCGTTCTTTTTTGTTTATTTTATATTTTTCTCTGACATTCATTGCAGTGAAAATATAATATTAAATTTTTATGTAAATTTTAAATGAATATTTATCTTCATCAGTCATTACACAGTATAAATATTTAGAAACTAAAAAGTCTGGAAAAAATTTAGTCTGATTATAGACCTTTTTTTAATCAGCAATATGCTGAAATACGTGGATTATATTTGAAACGGTCTTCTTTAATCACTATTAGCTATTGGTTAATAATAAATAAAAAAAAACTATAGGTAGGTATTTACATACAAATAAGTTGTATTAATTGTGCTGGATCCCGCAAAACTAAATGACTTCTGACTTGATACATGAGAAAGATAGAAAGTGGTAGATAAGTAGAGATAGAGGGATAGCTGCTGCTGAGCGAGAGGAATCGTGTAGGAAGTGGGGGCAAGCTGTGACTTACTTTTGGCCGTACAACTAAATAATATAGGGAGATATATATTGTGACCGCAATTTGGCGTGCCACAAACTCTCCTGAAATGCGCGGTCAACATCAAGAGTCTCATAGGTAGCAGAATATGTCTCCGTGATACGAGTTGTTATGCAAGATGTTAACGAAGAGAAAGCGTTAGTGCGACAAGTTGATATCGAGAAAAAACCTTGGGTGGCTCTCCCGAGAGTTCTACGGCCCCTTCCTTCATCCTCTGCCACTGCTGTACCAGATTCAATGCCACTCACATGATTGCATGCAAAGCACCTGTAAAGCACACACATAGGTGCAAGGCATGGACACATACTCACACACGCATCGACAATGGCCACCGTCTGATGCGAAAACAGAGGCTTTCTCTGTCTTGCTCCGTGGCTATAACCAAAATTGGTCCAAGCTTGGCTGTGAAAATGCGCACTGGTCAGGGCGCGACTTGGCCTAACTTGGCCTGACTTGGCTTGACTGCTCCCAAGCCATTGCCAATCTTCGTCTGCGTATGTTTATAATATGTATACGTATGCTGCACGAAAATGTCGAAAACAATGTCTGCGCATGCCTAGCAATAATTTTTCCGAGTATACCTATACATGATATACACATACAAACGAATTCCGGCAATTACTTGGGACCAGTCAGGCCAAGTCGCGCCCTGATCAAGGCGCTGTTTCACTGTCAAGCTTGTACTGATACAAAAATACGGCTGAGTTAGCTTGATTGCACTGCTGCACTAGCCGTAGCGGCCCAAGCAGGTAAATAAAGGCTAGGTTTGCTTGACTACCAAGCAGATTCTGCTTGGTGCTATAAAGCTAATGCGACGTGTCACAAACGAAGTAAAATAGGCTTCGTATAATGAAGTTAACAACTGATTATTCAACATTTTAGTGACCCTGTCTTCATGTCATCCTTTGTATAGAAATTCATAAAGACAGGACCACTAAAAAAATACACTATAACCTGTTGTCATCTTTATTAGACGAAGCCCATTTCACTACGTTTGTGACGCGTCACATTAGCTTTGCAGTGCCAAGCAGAATACTGCTTGGCTGTCAAGAAGACCTAGCCTTTAGTTACCTGCTTGGGCCGCTACGGCTAGAGCCGCAGTGTAGTCAAGCTAACTCAGCCGTATTCTTGTATTGGTGTGAACCCACATTGAGATCTTGGCAGTCAAGCTTGGATACAAATCACACAGTTGCGGTACTCTGTCTGAAAACGTGCACCAAGTTCTCGACTCCGTACATATAGACTTCATTCTATCAAGAACATGGCTACCTATTGAAACGATCCCGGAAAGTTATCCTATCAACAGTATGGGGCCAGCGGTGATTTTGGTGTACAATAATTCGGCATTCAGTGTCGCAACTGCATCAACTGTGCCTTGGGCCTTACCACTCCCTGATTTCAATTTCCAATCGGAAAATTATTATAAATCGAGTGACGTCGCTGAATGGGCTTTAAAATTTTGAAAGTAAAATAAGACTCAAGAAACTCTTAAATTAAACGGGTCAAAAAGAAATTTTCAAGATAAAATGTCGAAAAAATATATGTAACCGTGTGATGCGTTACTAAATGGCGCGGAAATTTGATTAATTGTGAAATTGACGCATTTCAAATATAACAAATGCTAATGTTGATGAGAGTTTAATAAGAAAAATTTGTCAATGTAAATGCCTGGTGCAAAGGGACAAAGAAATAATTATTGCAGCTATTTATACATCACCTAATACTTCTGTTTACAAAATAATTGAATTCATTCACCAACAACTACTAATATGTACAGACGAGGGTCCTACAATATTTAAAAAAGATTGTAAGATTTCTATAGTGGAAAGCGGAGATTCTAATGTTATCTTTTTTCCGAAGCTATAGTACCATTAATTTAAATTTTAGAAAAAAAATATAACTTAAATATGATGACTAACCCATTGTAATCGACCACTTAATATGAAACAGTCATTGATACCGTCCTTGCTCGTTATTTAGATAAAATCGAATCATTGATTTGTATTTTATATTTTTCAGACCGAAAGCCCAAAGGCCAAAATCAGTTTTCAGTGTCAATAACAGAATGTAATGATAAATAAGCATAAATAAATTTTGTATTTTTTAAGTAAAATATTCTCAATAAACAATTGCCAAAAATATATACAATTTAAAGAACGAGATGCTTTATAAAAAAAACCTCAATAAAGCTTCACTTCTTTCATGGGTCCCAGGACCCATAGTTTTTGGATTTTTCTGTGTTCTGAGCTGTAAATTTAGTGACTTGTGTACTTGTTGTCGTGTGACTCATAATCCTTTTTTCTCAAAGCTCAGTCATAAATCGTATAATTATATATCTGTCACTAATATATATCCCTCATAGGATTCTTTACTTATGAAATAAACATAGCGTTATAAATTTTAGTATCACTTGAAGTACAGTTTTTAGATTATTGATTCTACACGAAAAGTCTCGAATACCTAATTGTGTGTGTGAGGTAGTCTTCCTGCATCTATTGCGCGAAGTTATCACTTGGCTTTCGTATATTCATATACAAACGCTTAAAAAGTTGATGATTGTTAAAGTTTTGGCAATCTCAGTGTTGAAAAATAGCATACCCAACAATTATCATACTATTCAGACTATAACCCTCGTTTTTGCCGAAAATTAACTACTTAAAATAGTTTTTTTTCACTTTTGTGACAAAATTTGTAATTTATACTAAATTTTTTAATGTTGTACATGATATTCAAACGTTAATAAATTTTGTTTCAGCTAACAAAGTAGAAGAAGCTTGCAACATAGCATTAGAATCTGGAGATTATTGTCTTGCTCTTCTCTTATCTCAATTAGACGGAAGCTCCATGGTACGTGAACTGATAGAACATCAAATTGAACTATGGCAAGATGCTGAAGCGGACGATTATTTTTCATTAAGTCGATTAAAACTAATTATGCTTATAGCAGGTGTCAAGAAATTATCCAAAAAAAGTGAAACTGTAAACGTGTGTGAAGATTTAGATTGGAAAAGAGCTTTTGCTGTTCACTTATGGTTGGTATCTTGTAAATATTACAAATGATATTACATGAACTGACTTAAATAATAGTTTTCGTCAGATAAGTGCCATTGTCTCCCAGTACAATGTTGCTTATATGGCGAATCCTATTTTTCCTACCAGGGGCTCACCAGCTTCTTAAAAACACCCGAGATAGAAAATATACATTTAGTATTATTAAAAAAAGTATTTAATATCCTAACGTTTATATCCTAACTCATTGAGAAAAAACAAAAAACATTTTTTGGAGATTAGTATTTTTGTCAGCTTTTACTTGACGTCTGGATAAGCAATTTTACAAAAAAACCGCTTAAGTGACATGAAAAATTTTTACAGTCACGGAAACACGTTTTTTGTCTTCTTCATACCCTTTTTAATATAAGAAAACTTATATTCTTCAAAAAAATTTTTTTTAAAAAGACAGTTTTGAAAGTTTAGTGTTAAAAAAAAAAAAAAGTGTACTCAAAGAAATTAGGGGTTGCAATCCTTAAGGGTTCAAACAATCATCGTAGGTATGCTATTTTATAACAAACAACTTGGCGTTGGAGTAATATTAACATTCCATTTCTTTTTTTACAGGTATTAACAAAAGTTCCTTTTGAAGGGTGATTTCACAAAGATATTTCCCCAGTTCATAATAATTGGACGTTAGCACCTTACAAGGATTTCTTGTCAGACCACTAATTAAAAAAAAAAATTTTTTTAAATCACATTAAATTTTGTCTAAGTACACGATTTTTCTAGTATTTTAGAGGGTATGGGGAATACGAAAAACTTTCTAAGAAGAGTTTTAAGAATGCTGGTTGTGGTATTCATGTTATCATGTAACTAATACTTTACTAGTTTTTGAATCGGAAAAAAAAAGACAGAAAGGTTTTCCACGGAAACAGTAATTGGAGTTTTAACGTACCATTTAAATAGACTTTCCTTTTTGCTTTGTTCCAACAATTTTTTACGAATGGACCAGCAAGGTTATGATTGATGTACCTCGCTAAATATCAAGTAGCACTTGATTATTGACTGCGCGACAGACATGTTACTGTGTACAACACGTCAGCTTACACATATTTTCATTCTTGTCTGGCGAAGTATTAAGCACCTAATGGAGCCAGCTACTGCCACTGTTAGCAGTGTTGGTAGCAGTGTTTCTAACAACCAAGAGTTCTCGCGCATGCGCACAACGGTCTTACTCTCTCTCCGACCAGGCCGGCAGTGGAGGGAGAGCTCCCCCTACCTTTACATTTAACCCAAGTTCCCCTCACTCTAACACTTAAATACAATCTTACATCTTAGTGGGGTATACTCGTCGTTGGTCAAGCGGGCTTCGCCTTTTGCCCGCGTATAGAATCTGACCAATATGCCATCGATTCTTCATCAATGCATTTTTTTTTTTTTTTTTTTTTTTTTTTTTTTTTTTTTTTTTTTTTTTTTT